AGAGAGAGAGAGAAAGAAAGATAGAGCGACAGAGGAAGGGAGAGAAAGAAAGAGGCCCACAGAGAGAAACGAGAGAGTGAGAGAGAGGGATAGTGACAGAAAAAAACAAAACAGTGAGATGTGCCTCGGCCGAGGATATTAGTGGAAGCTCTGCTGAGAGACTCGGTCACCGGTCCTGGCCTTGAAAGTTGGCCCTTCTCCACACGTCCTTGTGGAGCTCGTGCTTACAGTCTGTTGCGGTTCCTGAGTGTTTCTGAATTATGAATGAGTGGTCGGGGACTTGGCATGTCTTGATACTGGGACCACCTAGTACGCCACTGGAAGACCACGCGAGGACCACAGCAGCATCACTCCCAAAACCAGTCACACCATGGACCATTCGCGCCGACCGGCTCCAAAGCACGCACGGTACTGTCGCGAGATTACACGAAGTCCAGAAGTGGCGACCGATGCGCGATCTAATCACTGCCATTGGGGAGCGGCATAAACGGCGGGAAGTGTGATGTCGCGTGCATGTTAGTTTTCGGTACATGTGGTTAAGCTACCAGTTCTGAAGCATGTTTGAAAGGCTGTACTATACCGTTCCAAGTAGAGACCCAGTCTTCGGTGCCGCCGAAATGCGCAGGGTGTATAGGTATAGGTGCGCAAGTCAGAGAGACAGAGCTGGAGAGGGGAGAGAGATCGAGCGAGTGTGCCGAGACGAAGGGGGCGAGAGAGAGAGAGNNGAGAGCGAGAGAGAGAGGGAGGGAGAGAGAGGGAGACAAAGAGCACCAGAACGAGCGAGAGCGAACATGGGCGTGTTCCTCGGGCATCAGCTAAGGATCTTCGTGGCAAGCGCTGTTGTTGGCGCCGGAGGGACACGGCCGTCGAAGCTTGAACTCCGGCCGCCCTGTGGCCTCTTGCCTATAAGCAATGCTGCTAGTCTCCTGAAGTGGTGTTGTTTCCCGAGCACCATCTAACACATACCTTCTCATTTCATAAACTTCTTCCTATAGTAGACTCTATAGATGCAAGGCTTTGGGTCTGTTCGTGCGGGATGGGCACTTTCGCCGCACAAAGAAGGCCGGTCATTGAATTCGCGGTTGTTCGCAGACGGACGTGCAGGACATATTTGAGGAATGTCCTACAAACTGTAAGTAGTGCCCTTCCTCAGTAACGGATCCTTGGTTAAGGGTAATTATACTTGGACTGTAAAGATTATGCAAGGCATCGGCGCTGAGATTCGAAGCATAAAGGCTTATACTGTGCCAGTTGAATTCCGGAAGGCGGGCTGCCGTATACTTGTAGATATGAGAGTGTCTGTAATGCAGTCAAATTTGAGTCGCATGGGGCAATAAATCATGTTTAAAGCCCGCATGATAAATCTAAACAGAAGACGCGGGGCCGGTTTAGACGTCAGGGGCGTTGGTCATTGGGGATTTAATTAACGCGTCCTCGCTCGACACCGTTTACACCCCTGAGACTCCGACAGCCGTATGGAATGCTGAGGAGTTCAAAACGCCAAGTGGGTGAATTACGAAGCTGGGGAATGCATATGCCGAACCGAGCTCTTCGGAGCTGGTTGCCCCCAGACATTTCACGAGTACAAGTTCTCCGAAGCTGACATTGACCCCCGGAAAGACTGCCCGGGCCTCGGAGGCCGCAGCCTGCGCTGACTCCCTTAGATACCGCTGCGCCCCATGAGTCAGTGTCGTATAACTGAGCCAAGGCCGGTGTCTTGGGCCCGAAGAGTTCAAAAGGCTCTGCGAAGGCATGGGTGGAGTCGGAGTGTAATTAATCCTTTAAGGATTTCATGCTTCATGCAGCACTCATTGTCCGGGACCAGGAATGCAGGGCAGCATCGGCGAAATGCTTGGGGACTGCCAGTGTTCGGACGATGACGGCCGCCTCTTCGGCGGCATGCCTTTGTGGTGGCTTTTAACTCAACGCGGCGGCTGCTCGGGTCTCAGCTCCTGATTCAAAAGCAAGGTTTCTCGAAGCGAAAACCAGTCTGTTGGGGCACAAGCTGAAAGTTGCCCTTCACCATGTGATGTTGTGCTCTGGCCTTGTTCTGTTGCGTCCATGTCGTGATAGAGTATCCCAGGCAGGAACCTCTCCCGGGAGAAGCTGAACAATATCAAAAATGCCTACGGTCACATCCACAATCATGCCCTGAAGTTTTGTTCGGGACTCTACGCTGAGGTATGGAGGACGGCGGCGAGAAGCGTCCGAGGCATGATACCGGAAATCCTCAGCGCTTTAGGCCACCAGGAAGCCCAGAAGATCTGCCAGACGGCCTTGGATGGGCAAGTGACGCCAAAGGAAGCCGATGAGGAGCTCCTGTATCCTGAGAAGCATCCCGTCCGAGACCCTCCGCCTGGAGAGAACACTCGGCTCTACAAGGTTCTGGACGGAAAGGAGCAGAGCATTCAGAGCTGGAAGCAGCTGTTGAAGGATGTCTGCAAGGACGAGTGCCACGACCTCGTGACACAGATGAGAGATTACGAAATTGCACGTGAACTCGCGATGGCCGCAGATTCCAGCTCGTTAAGTGTATCCGAAGCGTGTGCCGAGCTCGTGGTGCAAAAGGTCGAGGCCGAAGTGCTGACCTGTTGCGCAGAGGAGTGCGGCTGGGATGAGCAACAGTGCCAGCTCTGGCCCTTCATGGATGCTTCCCAGCAATCAAGCTGCTGAGATAGCCAATGGGAGAACTTTAAACTTCTTTTTGGCCTTACATCTTTGGTTTGTTATAGAATTAAAGGTTGAAAATTTTTGGGTCCGGTTATTGAAGAAGAGAGGCTGGAAGGCGCGGTGCTGCGAAGAGGGCAACATCCTGAAGGGCTCCAGCCGAGAAAGCCTTTGCAACAGCGTTGAGCCCAGCAGCGTACGCGAGGAACTCGAGAAGATCGATACAGTGACCGAGACCCCGGGAGATGATGTCAGAGTTGGCATGTCGATCAAGGAGGGCACAGCCTTCTTTCAGGCCGTTTCGGTGGCTCCTGCATGCAACATGGCCACCGGCGTTCGGCTCTGCCGGAATCCAGAGTCGCACAAGGTATTCCTGAAGCTTTGCGAGAAGCCTGGAGAAGGCTGGCAGTTCCTCGAGTCGGGTCAACACTCAACGCTCAAGAGACATGCAGTGCCCCTGAAGGGGACCGGTGTCAGCGCCTGCAAGGAGCAGCTCAAAGAAAAAGGCGTCGACTCCGTGTCCTGGCTCGGCAAAGACGACATAGGCAAAGGCACAGACTGCTACTGCTACGTCATCAAGACGCCGAAAGAATCGAAAGAACATGAACACGAAGTCCGGACAGCTTACAAGGCTGTCCAGGACAGCGTGACAGGCTTGAAGGGGGGAGTTCCCGGCGCTGCGCTGTTTATGAAGAGATAAAGAAGTAGCTGTAGTAGGTACCTTACAGCGACACCTTCACGCTGCTTGCGGCGAGGAAACAAGTTGCTGAGCCTTGCCCAGGAGAGCTGCCTTCCGCAATGTTCTTGATTTTTCTCATACAGCTGCTACATGTAGGTGTAGAATTTTCGATGCCGCTACCCCGAACACAAGTAAAGAAAATAGTCTTCTTGCAAGAGCCAGGCCCTCTACGACCTCGGCGGTGAAGCCATGCCACACACACAAGGCTCTGCCAGCATTGTGCCAGAAACCCTCAATGCTGGTACGCTCAGCGGGTTGTTAGGGAATGCCTTCCTTAGGTTGCCACACATACATATATGTCTCTCTCTCTCTATATATATATATATACATATTCATTCACACACACACACATATATATATATATATTTATTTATGTGCGTGTGCATGTGTTACACTTTTTTGTGTAGGCGAACTATATGCTCAGATACACTTGGTCATTCGCTTTACAATTTAAGCAAATCGTTTGGTCATTGTTATAGTTATAACAATACATGTCTTGCTAAATCTTTGTCGTTATTTGTTGGTTTTACGTTGTTATATCCGTGTCTCTAGATCGTGTATTCGTTTAGCGCTCATAACACACATGTAGCTACATAATTCTATACATATATTTTATATACACAGGTGTGCACAGTGTGAGAGAAAGAGAGAGCACGTGTAATGCGTGTATGCATGACCACGCATTAGCCGGGCAGGCAGCAAACGAGCGCGGCGGTGGAGATCGGCTCTGTTCCAGTCTGGAAGCCCGGTTTCCAGCATAGATGACTGTTCTCTGGCCTAATATCGGGACACGAACCGGATACACATATAGGTAAGTGCGCTTTTGGTGTGACTGCCTTCCCGTCCGCAGTGGCCGGGCACGTGTCGTGGTCACCGCCGTTCTAAATGCATTGCTGCGACAGTTTTTGCGAATAGGTGCTTGTTTGCCACGTACAGCGGCCACTCCGGTCGAAAACTTTGCATGTAGCATTGCTTCAGAAATCATAGCAGATTCCGCAAACTCACGGGAGTTGAAATACGCCCTGCAGAAAATGCCCCTGCTAGTAAGTTGATAGGCCGTTTAGAGGGAGACGAAAAGGTATATGCTGACGAAGATGATGCATCCCTTTTGGTGGCTCTAAGGCCTGGAGATCCTCAGAGAATAAACGGATCATCCTGAAACTGCACCCCAAAGCCCCAAACCATCCTCAAATGCAAATGCGTTTGAAACTTTCGGGAGGCCACAACGTCCCTGAGATGTGCAGACGAGACCTTGCGTGGACTCCACTCCGTGCGAGCACGTGCGGAAAGATGAGATGAGGGGCACTGAGCAGCGAGGAACCTACATATCATCTTAAGGTTGAAGGCTTCCAGGGTTTGGGGAAGGCTCCAAAAGCCTGAGGCGTGTGTCGAAATCTGTAGTCATACATCACAGGGTTTCGGGTTTTTGCGCGTTCTACTTATACTTTGCCTCCTGTATGCTATAGCCGATAGCCGCAAGTTGCCATCGTCTGGATTGGAACCGCAGTTTTCCTGTTTGGTTCTGATATAGTCGTTTAATAGATTGTTTTACTATTCATTGGCTCTTCTCTCTGTGGGAGAAAGCCAGGATGGGTGAGCCCTAAAGCACTGCATCCATGCCCTCTTTTGAGGTTTGGGGTTTTAAACCCGGGACCCTGAACCCTAAACCCTAAGGAAGGTGCCAGAAGCCCAAGCACTACTACACTCAATCAGGCTAAGTACCCCTAAAGGCCCCTACCGACTACTGTTCGAAACCGATGAGACCTAAACCCTACAGTCCGAGAGTTTTTTTCCGTGTCCAGCTTACGGTTTTTACAAGACTGAAGTCGTCTTCTAGTGACTCTAGTGAAGTCCGAAAGAGGACCTTCATTTGGAGAGGTACAACATTTGTGCAGCCACTGCTGCTGCTATTCTGCTGGTAGTTCTATGACCACGACTGCTATCACCACGTTTTAACCGGTACGACCACTTCGACCATGAATTTCTCCCACTACCACTTCGATCATCGACCCGGCGAGGATGGCCCTGAGCCCCTTGTAACACACTTTATTTCTGCCCGCTGCAGCTTCGAAGCTGAAACCAGGAATGCTAAGACTTTCTGAACCTTCTATTTACCCTTAGCTCTACCTATCCCATGCCTGAGGGTGCAAGGGTTCTGCTCAGGGCAACGGGCTTCACGATTCTAGGGTTCAGCCTGTAGGGTTTACGAGACCTGAGATTTCTGACTTTGGTGCTCCGGCTTTCCAGCCCTTTTCTCCCATGGCGCACGCTGGCCTTTGACAATGGGGCGCCTCTCCAAGGTGTGATGGAAGGGGGGTTGGACAAGTTTAGGGCGCAGGAGATAGGATTTCAGTGCAAGGCGTAAGGTTTGAGATAGGGTGCAGGGTGTAGGAATGGGACAATTCTTGGTTCGGGAGTTGCTTTCGCTGCACGAGTTGCAGCTTTTGAACCGTCCATAGGTTCGAACACGTATGGACAGGTCCGCCATCCGGGACGTTGAAGCTTCAGCCCTATGTCGCTGGCATGACAGGGTTTAGGGCGCGGTTTCTCTACAATTCTTAATTTTAGAGAGGCCCAGTAGGGTGCATATTGCAGCTTAAACAGAAGCTTTGTTCATAAGCTGCTTGGATCTAGAGCAGCCGTGACTTTGATGTCCAAAAACTTCAGAAGATGTTTCTCACGAATTCCTCGACCAGCCTATCGCCACCCGCCGAAGGACAAGCGCGATGTTTACTACCGGGAAGCGAAGAAGGACAGCTCCAGGGGATGCTTCTGGTGCCTCAAAGACGAACGAAGGTGGAGTCACGGGGATCCAATGGGGCCCCAGGGCCTCAAAGGCCCCAAGGAAGACTGCAGTCAACCACTTCTGGACTTTCGGATTCTTCAAAAAACTGATAGCCCTCAGCATTGTATTTAGCAAGTGTTGCTAATGATGCCAAGTCGCCCCCGTGTGAGCCGACAGATGTATGCCTTAATCTCCTAAACCCTTAGAGTTCGCCAATCCAGCAGGTAGGCCTTAGGCCGCGGCAAAAGACCCCACGATGTACCCGTTGTGGCGAAGTTCTGGCGTAGCTTGAGTACTCACCATTCTACTATACATAAGGGCCATAAGACCTCATTGGGGGTCTTGGACCCCAGATCGACTTCCCGGAATCCTGGACCTTGCGATGCCGGGAGAGGAGAGGAGAGAGAGAGAGAGAGAGAGAGAGAGAGAGAGAGAAGCTCCGTCTCGAAGTTTGAGGCCCCAAACACGAGCCCCAAGAACTCAGAAATCTCGCCCCTGGAAATATTATCGCAGTTTCAGAAAATCAGGGACCTGGGGACCCTAATCCGTATGACGGGCGGAAAGCCCCGCAGTTGTGGCCTTCGCTGCTTCTCAGGAGGGCTTCCGCGCACGATCGGCTTTCAAGCTGATGCAGAGCCCTGCACATGCATCAGATGGGGCTTTGAATTTAGGGCCTACTACGGGGACCAGTTGGGAACAGTAGTGGACATGCTATATAGACATGACAATAATTTAATGGTTTCGTTAGTGGTTTTTGTTCTGGGAGTGGGGGGTTTGCCCTGAGGACTGGCACCTGGAAGGAATGGGTGTGTGATTCGGCAGTTAGGATTTCACTGGTTCACGGAGTTCGGCGGTTGCGGTTGGCAATCGCCGCGACTCACAAGAAGCCAGCTGCGAGTCATACAACTACTGTGGCGATAGTTGTCTCGCGTAGTGCTTACGAATGATCTGTGCTTTGTTGTAAACTGGGCCATCTTGTAGGGAAGCATGGAATTTAGGACACTTCGCGCACCAAGCTCCTGGCCTTCGAGCTACTATCCCTGTACGACATCGTAAAGCTAGCGATCATTCATTTATATATCACATATCTAACTCGTCTTCTAGGGTTCCCTAAACCATAAAGCGATACCCTGACCATCTTCAGGCCTAATCCACTTATGGCCCCTCTATAGCCCAATTCTAAGTGTTTCGGACCCCTTTCCGACATCCGAAAACTGACCCTTATAGACCCCTCTCAGCGGCACCCTTACAGGATCCCTAAATCCGAAACTTTCGCATGAGCCCGGGATCACTTCGTCATCCGAGAATCGACGACGAGATCGACCTACTCTCGGGGGCGCCGAGCCCAGAGAAGAAAAAGATGCGGTGGAGGGTTTGGGGTTCCAGTTAAAAGTTTAGGGCGTTAGTTTAAGGGGTTTGGGTTTTGGGTTCATGTCATACGGTGTGCAGGCTTATTTAGGAGGGTTTGGGGTTCCAAACCCGGTTTGGGGTTAGAGGGTTAAGGTTTAGGGTTTTGGTTGAGGGGTGAGGATTTTGGGTTCATGTCATACGGTTTTATGGCTCTTTTTAGGGTTTATCGGGATATTGGACTCTCCAGGCGAGCCAAAGGCAGGACCCGGAGTGCTGCAGGAAAACTTCGTCGAGCCACGAACATCTAAAAGATCGAAGCACAACATCACACTTGACACGGTAAGGATGTGACTGATGAATCAAGGTTGGGATGTTCTTCGATAGCGCCCTACACCCGAAAGCTTGGAAACAGGTGCGCAATGTCGCCGACCTGTGCGCGGCTCCAGGCGGCTGGAGCCAGGCTCCGGATGAACAACTTTCGGTTTTGTAGGGGATTGTAAGGGTTCCATGACGGTTCCACAATCTTAACTACGGGTTCTGTAAGGTTGCTCGAGTTCACTCTTCCTGTGGCTTTACTCGCTCAACCTCTCGCATTCCGGCATGCACACCTTTGTACGATCGCCGTAGAACTAATTAAGCACAAACCGAATCCCCAAACTGATAATAATGGTCTCAGAGACTGACAAGGAGAGCGCAGAAGTGCAACATCACCCTACGAGTCTAAAGTTAGTCGCATCCGCTGCGGAAGTGAGTGGAGTACGTGGAGTACAGGAAGTCGCAAATACCCCGTGCCTGGTTAGCAGGGGAATTATTACACCCAATCGAA